GTTGTTGTGCGAATTTCAGTTCCCCTGTGAAAATCTGCTCCCCCTAGTGGTTAACTTAGAGAATCACTGGTCCAGGCATGACGTCAGACCAGAGGGAGGCGCTTCCAACACAGGGGAACAGATTTTCACAGKGGAACTGAAAATCGAACAACACCGGAAGCTGCTTTTCTTTTACACCGGAAGCTGTTATATTACGTTCAGCCTTTTCTTCTCGCTAATCAGTGACAGTCTTTCACCTTGTCTATTGGTCAAATGAGTTTAATTCAGGTTGATATTGAACTGTAACAGCTCGGTAAATGTTGATGAACAAACAGAGATGTGGAGACTGCAGGTCAAACAGCGCCTGGATGCCGGAGGAGAAGAAGAGGAATCTGCACTGAAACCAGCAGATCAGAATAACCGTGCAGGACACGGCAGAAGACCAACAGATGCTGTTTTCAGTCCCAACGATAAACTGCATGCATCAGGTTTGTGTCTTTATTTCCTGTTTACCAGCAGTTTTCTGTTGTGTAATGGCGTTAGTTGGGAAGAAATGTGCTAATAGCTTAGCTTGCTAACGATCAAATAATTTAGGAGATTGAAACCTGAAAAAATAACTTAAGTCAGAGCCCCTTTGAACTATTTAATGTTTGCACATTTTGTTTTAAATCCAGAAAAATCGACAGCTGAAAACCCAAAACACTGACCTTCTCAGTTACTAATGTGCAGACGTGAAATKAAATCTGGCACCACATGCTCTAATAATAATAAAAAGGTCGTACCTGCCTTCAGCACTGTTATTTTGGTCCTTTATGCCTGCTTTCAGATTCAGATTAATTTATTGTCATTCACACACAACATCAAGATGCAGTGCAGAACGAAACTGMCTCCGATTCCAGCTTCCGATTCGGGAAACGACTAAAGGGATATTACAWCTAATTCTTCACAACCTTCAGCATATTTAATCTGCTCTAGCTCAAAAACTACAACACCTACACTCTTCAAATCTGGACTAGATTATTCTACACTAAAAGAAGAATATTTAAAAACACGTTTGGGATTTGGGAAAGCTTTGTTTGATTTGTGAAACTTCAACAAAGTTGGTTTTTCATCGTTTTTATGCAACTGGACCACACTAGACCTGGTCCAGCTCAAAAACCACAACACCTGGACTCTTCAAACCAAGACTAGATTATTCTACACTAATAGTGGAATATGTAAAACTAAGTCTGAGCTTTGGGAAACCTTTGTCTGATTTGTGAAAAAWCAATAAAGTTTGTTTTTCATCATTTTTTAGGCAACTGGACCAAAGTTGCCTAACGCTCAAACTTAGTGTTTATTGCTCTTCTATTGGTGTAGAATAATCTAGTCCTGGTTTGAAGAGTCTAGGTGTTGTGGTTTTTGAGCTGGATCAGGTCTAATGTGGTCCAGTTGCCTAMAAAATGATGAAAAACAAACTTTGTTGATGTTTCACAAATCAGACAAAGGTTTCCCAAAGCTCAAATTTAGTTTTTATTATTCTTCTATTAGTGTAGAATAATATAGTCCTGGTTTGAAGAGTCTAGGTGTTGTGGTTTTTGAGCTGGATCAGGTCTAGTGTGGTCCAGTTGCCTAAAAAACAATGAAAAACAAACTTTATTGATTTTTCACAAATCAGA